TAATTTTTTCTAGTATGCGCGCTATGTGTGTGAGGCATCCCACCACCTATAAGGGTGGAGGCACGCGTTGTGCTATGTATGAATCTATGATTGTAAGAGTTGGATTGATGGTATGAGGAATCCCCGGGCGGTTGGGTCACTACTGGACGGCGAGACGCAACACAGTAGTTGACGGGCATGGACTGGACGGCGAGACGTAACGCAGTGCCATTACCGAGTTTGGGTATGCAACCGGACGGCGAGATGTAACGTGGTTGGCATACTAGGGTAGGACACCGGACGGCGAGACGTAACGTAGTGGTCCTAGTGTTTTGTGTTGAGATAAGGATAGAGGTCGAGAACTTTTATGAGTTAATGTTGAAATGAGTTGATAAGAATGGTTATTTAAGAGCAGAAAGCGAGAACGGCTTTCATGCTAGGAAAGCATTCCCCTAATAACATGTCTAGTAAGGAGTTGTCCTAGGGCAAAGACCTTAGGGAGTAACGACGAGACTGACCCCTTCTCACTCACCAGGTGCATAGAGGGGAAGAGGACGCATCCATCAACAGGAGATTACCCGAGGAAAGCAGCCGCGGCTAACCTGAATATGTCAACTGGATCTGGGTAACGAGATGGGACCTCCCATTATATTTGTCTTTAGTTTCATGTCTTAATGAGTATACTGGGAAACTCAAGGATTGTGTTTTATGTTTTGTTACTCTGGATTGAGGTCGCCCAAGTGTTTACGGCATTTCACTTGAAAATCTTAAGCATTGTGGTTGTTGGTTTTTGGTTTTGACTTGTAAACCTGTTTTGGGTTGCTCCGAAGTAACCAGTTTGTGGTTTGAGTTGTGGTTTGGTTTTCAAAAGGATCGGGTCGTGTCACTTTCTCTCTCTAGGGATCTGTTTCTAGTTATGAAAATCGATCCCCTTTCCTTTGGCTTGAATCTGCCTCAAAAACCCGATTTTGGGCAAACACGGTCGAGGACAGGGCCGTGTTTAACTTTTGCCCGTCCGTGTTCTCGCCACGTGTTGAAAAGACATCCGCGTCGGCCTAAAACACGGTCGTGCCCAATAATTGACACGACCTTGTTTTACTCCAATGGTGCCCATGGTTTGGACTTCTCAGCAGCCTCCAAGAACACTCTCTCGGCATAAAAAGCACGGTCTGAGACACGACCGTGTTTCTCTTTAGTGCAACCCGTGTTTTGCTTCTTCATCGATTCAACTCTCGCACTAAAAAGCACTAGCGTGCTCATTTGTGTACACGGTCGTGTTCTTCAAGCCTCCTGCTCGTGTTTTGACCCCAGCTCGACCGAATGACCTCCTAAAGCCCTGAAACTTGTGCCAAGCCTTCCCTTCGACGTATGGGACCGGAAATGTGAAAAGTAGCACAACTCAGCGTAAAATAGGCCAAAAATACACGACTACAAGCCGCAAACGGATAAGAACTAAGTGCGCAAACATGTGCAAATACATCGTTATCAAATCCCCCCACACTTAACCGTTTGCTTGTCCCCAAGCAAACCAAGTCAGATACAAGGTAAGCTCAAAACATATTAATCATGCAACCCTTGGGGACATATCATATCAGCACAAAACACGTGAATCATAATGGCTTTTGATCATTAACACATGGACAACTTCAACAGCAACCTAGACAGCGACCATAGAGGACATTCAAGTGTAGCAAAATCGGGTAAAGGAAGAGTCTCCCTTCTGTTCGCCAACCAACATAGATTTGACTCAACCACTTATTCAAGACAATCACCTCATGCACAAAACTTAAGACATCAGAATTAAGACCTAGCAATTAGGTCCTCACCAGGGTAAAGAGTATAGAGAATATGAGAAAATGAATCGCTCACTCTCGACTAGTGGGGTCAGGACAATTTGATGCGAAAAATGTGCATGCTTATTCTCGTAATCCCTAATGTCTCTTCACCATGATGGCAACCTCTAAAAGTCAGAGTTCACAAGGGATGTCACCACTAACTAATTCGGAGGTCTCAGACACAGGTTCAGATGACTGGCTAGGGTCTTGGACATGGGGAAAAGGATCCACAATTCCAAACCCAACACATTCACAACCATTCAAACCACTTACTTTCTTTCTGTCATTCTGTATTACTCAAGTTCTTTAGAGCACAAGAGCGAAGGATGTCACAATAATGTTAGTATTTCTCAGCCAGACTGTTAAGAAACACTACTTGATGGGCACGATTCAGATTTTTTGTAGTAGCTCTCTTTTGCTTCATTCAAATTTTAATTTTTTTTTCATTTCTTGAGAGAACCACCACCTCTGCACATTTTTCAAACACATGCCCTACTTTTAAGAACTACCTCCAACCCTCACATTATTTCTAGCAGAAATAGGAGAAAACATGCAAAAACCACTCTGTGGAACCTTCTAAGAGACGCAAAAAGGGTGATTTTTCATTGTAGACCGAAAGAAGGAAAGTGACACGGCTCATAGGGGCAAGCTAGGGGGTATGACATCCGGGACAGTCAATTTAGTCGTGGGCTATTCCTATGCCTCCATCATCCTAATTAGTGACAACGTGAATGCTACACATCATGGAAGAGGGATCTATCGCACAAGAAAGAAACGAGCAAGCTCAAATCTCACATGACTACCTATTTGCTCTATCTCCCATTCTGATTCCCTGAACTAGATGCATAAGCGACTGTCAAGAGCCAGTGATCAATCCAAGTCACAATTGGTAAGCAAATAGTTGAAAAACTGAACCCCTACACAACTCTACTACACGTCTTAGTCATCATTATAGGTTGTCTCGGTCACAATCCAGTTTTCATGCATCAATTCTAACAGCCATTCGATTCATCAATCAAACCACAGTGCCAATATGATCAAGCAAACAGCAGTACTTGGAGCCCTCAAATCTCAAAATTGAGACATGATGTCTCCCATCTCGTGCTCCATGATGCAGCGCCGGACCACGCCATCTGCTCCGACCCTGAAGAGGTAAGGATCCTCCCAGAAATAATGCTTCAGGTCGGAGAAGAACTTGCGCTTTGCATGAGTGGCCATCCCCTTCGGTAGCTGCTTGCCCACCAGATAATTAGCAAAGTCAGAATACCAAGGGGTGACACTGTTCACCTAGGTCATCGCCAGCAATCGCTCACCCGGGAAGGAGTCATTTATCTCTTCAACGAAGTTGTCCACCGGAGGGGTTTCCAACCGTGATAGATGATCTGCAACAACATTCTCGGCTCCCTTCTTATCCCGGATCTCGATATCAAATTCCTGCAGAAGCAGGATCCAGCGGATGAGCCTAGGCTTCGCTAACGTGGGGTTTTTTATTTTCTTTTTTGTTTATTATTATTATTATTAGAAAAAAAATTCAAAATTTTTTTTTATTCCGTGCTCGCTAGCGTGGCAAGTGAGCTGGAAATTGACAAATGGTCAACTTTGTTGACTGTCTAATTTGAAGGTCAAACCCTGCTATGGGACAAGTTAGGAATTATGGTACATAGTTCAGACTAGGATAGCAATTTCGGAAACCACAAACCAAAATAGAAAGTTTGTGTATAGTTCGGGTCAAACTAAGGTATTAAACCTATTACGTTTTGATTGGCATGCATCGTGTATGACGATCCTTTTCTGAGCTATCCAAGAAAGTACTACTTCAATTATTTTTTTAAATGTATTTATGGATTTTGTTGGGTACATCACATATGATAAGATTATCAGTTCAAAATTATATGAATTGTTCATAATGTTAGCTTAAATAAATTCTACAGATTGAATTTTCTATACTTAATATACTTTTAACCTAAGATATATTGTATGAACTCATTTGTGAATATAGGAGAATATTTTCATCCGAAAAATTGGTTTGATTTTTTTATAGCTCCTCTTGATTGACCAAATCTCAAGAAACAATTAGAAGTGGCAAATGGATTGGTGGATTGGATTGATATATTCATAGATTAAATAGATTTGATCAAATGGATTGGTGGATTCATGGATTGGATCAAGTGGATTGGTAAATTATCCATGAATTCAAATGACATCCTCTACCTTGGACCAACATGTAAAATGTGAAAACTTAGGTACAAAAATGTCATAATAAAAATTTGTAGGTACCAAAATATAAATTTCCAATGATATTTTTCTATAAAAATTTAATTTTAGGTACCAAAATGTATAAAAAAATAAAAATCATAGGCACTAAACTATAATTTGCCAACGATCCACGAATCCACCAAACTAATTGGATTTGAATCAAATGAATTGGATTAGTTAGATATTTTTAACGGATTGCTGGATTAAATTATAAGTACTAAACTATAATTTGCCAACGATCCATGAATCCACTAAACTAATTGGATTTGATAAAATGAATTGGATTAGTTAGATATTTTTAACGGATTGCTGAATTGAATTGAGAATTGCTACCTCTATAAACAATAGAATCATTTCTATATATAATAGATGACCAGGGGAAATGAGTAAATCAATTCAACGAAAAAAATAAATGAGTAAATCATCCATCTCATATTTGGTTCGTCGTTGGCTCGTTGCCACCGTTCTATAATTTTACAGCGGGTTAGAAGTTACAGTGTTAGCATAAATTATTAGCATCTCTTGTCAACCCATGAAGATAATTATTTAGGTGGTTGAATTTGAGAAGTTTATAGTATTTTTGGACAATAAAGTATATTTGTAGATATTCTGTAAGTGAAGATGAAATTGAACTAGTTGAATTTACAGTCTAACAGAGCTCATGCCAAGAATGCAGTGGAAGAAAGTTGATGAAAATAATATGTTCATTTGTAGTTTTTTAGATTATTTTTCTTTGTACTTATTATAAAGAGTTCCAATTCGTCTGTTACAATGCGATATATAAATTTGTTTGTATCATATTATATTATTGTACCATTTCATATTTAATTAAATTATTATATTTAATGAATGTTAAATTATGTTCCCCATATTGATTATGCCGAATGTGATTTTACGATGCATATCAAGAGTATCTAAATTAAATAGTTAACACAATTACAAACTTTAGTACTGAAATTCAATGAAAAAAAATTAATACGGAAAGATATGATTTATAATTTGCTTTTTAGTGAAATAGTGCAAGTATGACCCATCCTTGGGTTGAGAAGGGTGTGCTGCTTGAGGATTATGCCCTGCAACATCTCACAGAAGAAGAGAGAGGCTCTTCTGTGGCTGATTGGACAAATGATGCACGATCGGTTCGTCCATCGCGTAATCGTACGAACTAAAGTTAAAAGAAACTGAAAATACTGGTTTATTCTTCTTTGACTGATTAAAACGTAGAGACAAAGTACATATTTATAGGAATAATCCTACAAACTCATTCCCTCCCGAACAAGGTAAACTAATCCTAGACCAACTCCTAAACAATAACTTCCTTAACAAGAAATAATAACCAAAATAATATCCAAATAAAATAATAATAATAATAATAATAATGATCAAAATTAGTTTTAATGACCTAGACGGTCAGAAAACGTGCACCCATCAATCCTCCCCCCTTCGAAAAACTTCGTCCCCGAAGTTTAAGTGTCACCTCAACCCGGATCGATGAAGAAGAAGCTTCCTCCTAGCTTGCAGTAGAAGGACATGAGGGTGAAATGATGATGATCGCGTTTGCGATATTTCCAGTTGCAACCATGAATACGAACATAGCTCCCGTAGCCGGTAGCTCCAACCTCTAGCAACCCTCTTACTCCGATATCATATGCTGCAAAATGGTGACTCTCCGACTTCGTGTCGTGGTCCTTGTCACCCATATGCTTGGCGACATTAATGGAAGAGACAGCCCATAGTGCCCCATCAAATATTCTCACCTCAACTTCCTCTTTTCCCTCTTGCGTCCCCGGCATGGGCTTATAATGAAGCCAATCATCATCTCCCCATTTTAACTTCCCATGCCCACGTACTTGTAGCTCATACCCATCTTGCCTGAGGTCAAGCTCTTGGAGGTAATTGACAAGTCCCACACCCATGTCCAACGTCATTTTACCAGCCCACTTTCCAAGGGATGCGCTCCCCGCCAAGTCGATAAGAACTTCCCAATCTCCATCCTCCTTCATTTTAACGCCATACTTGCATCGATCAATCAATCCATGGCGCTTGGGTTCAGCCGAACCATTGATCAAGGTAGCATGAATTTCGACTCCCTTCCCTTCAGGAGAAGCCACACCACTAACCAGCTGTCCCATCCTTCGCGGAACTTCACCTTCATTGTCACTAGCTCTCCGTTGCTCAAGTCCATTCACGTCGACGTTAGTGGTTGGTTTCCGATCAGTTCCGTTTTTCATCTTTATGCCATATTGGTAGCAATCAAAGGGAATGGTGATCCTCTCCGCAGAACCTATTGAAGAATAATGTTTAATAAACAAAAAAAAAAATGTAACATCACAACTAGTTAGAGTTGTGAAGTGTGTGGAGTTATCTAGAGTGTGTATTAATGTGGGTAGTTATGGATTAAGAAAAGAAGAAAAATGAAGAACCACAAATGGGTAGATATTTGTGGGGTTAAGTAGGTGTAAAGTGGTAGTTAGGTGTGGCAAAGTATAAGCCACAATTTAGTGTTGGAACTTGGCTATAAATAGCCATGGTTTGTGTATGATTTCTTCATCCCAAGCAAAGCAAAGCAAATAAGAAAGAAAGTAGAGAGTGTTTGAGCAACTGTGAGTTGTGGGAAGGTGAAGAAATAAGAGAGTTAGTGAGCATTTCGATCCATATTTTTCCAACAAGTGGTATCAGAGCCAAGGTTATTCCTCGTATGCTCTGTGGTTGCGGTTTAGGCCGATCTTCCACATCAGAAAAGGTTTCCTTGTGCTTTGTTATCAGTATCAAGGTTATTCCTCGTATGCTCTGTGGTTGCGGCTTCGACCGATCTTCCACATCAGAAAAGGGATTCCTTGTGCTGAGTTATCAGAACTGGTTCAACCGAGAGCCAGTAGTGACGAGATCCTCATCAGGCGGTCAGAGGCTGCAGTTATTTCAGGAAGACTGAAATAGAGAACTTGGAGAAGTTACCAAGTAAGAAGATGGTGGGTTTCTCAGTTACCGCTATGGAGAAGTTGAATGAGACCAACTACTCAAGTTGGAGCACCCGTATGGAGTTTTATCTCAGAGGCCAAAAGCTCTGGGAAATTATCACCATCCCACCACCCAAAGATGAGAAGCTGTTGGAGGACTGGAAGCAAAAAGCAGACAAGATCATGTACATCCTTGCAGTCACAACAGAAGACCAATTCCTGCCTCGCATCAAGGAAAGCAAATCCCCGAAGGAAGCTTGGGATACTCTCTCCACAATCTTCGCCAGGACCAATGAGGCGAGACTCCAGAGACTGGAGAATGAATTGATGGCACTATCCCAAGAAACATTGACCATTGGTCAATATTTCAACAAAGTAAAAAATGTTTGTGCCGAAATTTCGAAACTAGATCCGGAAAATCCAATTTCAGAAGCTCGGACAAGAAGAATCATCATTCGTGGCTTGAGACCGGAGTTCAAGGGCATAATGACAGCAACAAGAGGGTGGTCAAAGGAGCCAACCCTGGCTGAGTTGGAGAATCTTCTAGCAAATGAAGAAATTCTCGATGACAATATGTCAAAGGCGTCAATCAAGGAAGAGGAAAAGGCCTTGCTCAGCAAAAGTAAAGACTCTAATGGTGGAGAGAAGGCTCTTGCATCAACAAGTGGCCAAAAGGGGTTCAAGAAGAACCAAAAGTGGAACAAGAAAGGGGGCAACTATCGAGGGGGAGCCCAGAAAAAATACAACCACCGTTACAAGGGTGGTGACGGAAAGGACAGGAAGGCGCATGATCGAGAAAATGGCAATTGCTACATTTGCCACAAGAAGGGTCATCTAGCCAGAGATTGCTGGCACAAAAAAGGAAGAAGGAAACGCTGCAACTTCTTCCAAGGTGAATGATGATGAATGGGACTTTCAAGCATCCTTTGCAACGGAAGCTCCAAAAGGCGCCACTAAAGAGTTAGCGCTCATGTCAGTGGACAAGAATGTCATTGATTATGAAAATGACTGGATTGTGGATTCGGGTTGTTCAAATCACATGACTGGTGATGAACAGAAGCTTTTAAACGTGTCCGAGTACAAAGGTGGACGAGTGGTTGTCACCGCCAACAACTCTAAGCTGCCAATCACCCACATCGGTGAGACACTTATTACTCCTCGGTTTGGTGATCAACAAGTGGAGCTGTCAAACGTTTACCACGTCCCTGGAATGCGAAAGAATCTGATGTCAGTATCACAACTGACAGCATCTGGTAATTATGTGGTATTCGGTCCTAGAGATGTGAAGGTGTATCGAAGCTTACAGCCAACTTCTGATCCAATCATGCAAGGGCAGAAGCTGGAGTCTGTCTATGTAATGTCAGCAGAAGCGGCTTATGTCGACAAAACAAGAAGAAATGAGACGGCAAGCTTATGGCATGCTCGTCTTGGACACGTTGGCTATCAGAAGCTCAAGGTGATGATGAAGAAGTCCATGCTCAAAGGACTTCCTCAACTTGATATCCGTGACGATATCGTATGTGCCGGATGCCAGTATGGGAAAGCTCATCAGCTACCCTATGAAGACTCAAAGTTCAAATCTAAAATGCCTCTAGAGCTTGTCCATTCAGACGTGTTTGGACCAGTGAAGCAGGCTTCAGTGTCTGGAATGAAGTACATGATTACATTCATTGATGATTTCTCAAGATATGTCTGGGTTGACTTCATGAAAGAGAAATCTGAGGCATTTGATAAGTTCAAAATGTTCAAAGAACTTGTCGAAGTCGAAGTCTGTCAGAAGATCAGATGTCTTCGTACAGACAATGGAGGAGAGTACACTTCAATCGTATTCACACAATTTCTCAAGCAACACCGAATTCGACGCCAGTTGACTTGCCCAGGTACTCCGCGACAAAATGGAGTAGCAGAGAGGAAGAACCGTCCCTTGGCAGAAATTTGCAGAAGCATGCTACATGCAAAGAATGTTCCTCCCAAGTTTTGGGCAGAATGCATGAAGATTGTTGCTCATGTTGTCAACAGACTACCTCAGCCAAAGTTGGGGTTTGTATCACCCTATGAGAAATTGTGGAAGTTGAAGCCCAATGTCAGCCATTTCCAAGTATTTGGCTGTGTGTGCTATGTGTTCGTACCAGACCATGCTCGAAGCAAGTTTGACAAAAAGGCGGTCCGATGCATTTTTGTGGGCTATGACAATCAAAGGAAAGGATGGAGATGTTGCGACCCAACAACAGGAAACTGTTATGTGTCACGCAATGTAGTGTTTGATGAAGCATCATCCTGGTGGTCCCCAGAAGCAGTCCTACTTCCAGACTCAAAGGAGATGGAGGAGAGGTTGCTAGAGAGGTCTAGTGAAGAAGAGGTGAAAACAGCAGAAGCTGAACAAGGAGAAAGTTCTGCGGGAGCTCAAACTCGCTCTCCTGAAAAAGGCAAGAGTCCTTGGAAGACTGGAGTTCACCAGCCAGTCACAGAAGAAGAATGACCTAGTCAACTGGATCATATTGTTGATCCTCAACAAGAGCTCAGAAGATCGAAGAGGGCTAGAAAGCCAAATCCCAAATTTGCCAATGTAGCCATGATAGAAGATATTGTCGTAAGAGAACCAACATCTTACGAAGAAGCGGCAAAACATGTTGAATGGAGAAACGCTATGAAAGAGGAGATTCAAGCTCTCGAGCAGAATCAAACATGGGAACTCGTACCAAAGCCTAAAGATGTTAAGCCCATATCCTGCAAATGGGTTTACAAAGTGAAGACAAAGTCAGATGGATCAATTGAGCGTTTCAAGGCTCGATTGGTCGCTCGTGGATTTTCTCAACAATATGGGTTGGATTATGACGAGACGTTTAGTCCAGTTGCTAAGATCACAACTGTCCGTGTTCTCTTAGCACTTGCAGCCAGTAAGTCTTGGAGAATGTGGCAGCTAGATGTGAAGAATGCTTTCTTACATGGAGAGCTTGATCGAGAGATCTACATGGAGCAACCTAGAGGGTTTGAGAGCATAAACACAAACTATGTCTGTAAGCTCAAGAAAGCCCTATATGGTCTGAAGCAGGCACCTCGAGCTTGGTATGGTAAGATTGGAGAATTTCTACTCCAATGCGGATACTCTGTCACTCCGTCAGATTCAAGTTTGTTTGTCAAGGAGCAATATGGAAAATTAGCAATTGTGCTAGTTTATGTTGATGACTTGATCGTGACTGGAGATGATGAAGAAGAAATCAACCGAACTCGAACGAATCTATCCATACGGTTCCAAATGAAGGAACTTGGAGAGTTGAAGCACTTTATTGGACTTGAAGTCGAGAAAAGAGAAGATGGCTTATTTCTTAGTCAGCGGAGATATTCCATAGTGTTGCTAGAGAAGTTCGGGCTACAAGAGTGCAAGCCTACGACAACACCGATGGAGGCTAACGTTAAACTCAACTCACAAGAGGGAAAAGATTTAGAAGACGTGACGATGTATAGACAACTTATGGGTAGTTTAATCTACCTAACTCTGACTCGTCCCGACATTTCTTATGCAGTTGGAGTCGTTAGCCGTTTCATGCGGAATCCCAAGAAGGTTCATCTTGAGATTATCAAAAGAGTTTTGAGATATGTCAAGGGAACCATTGATCATGGGATAATTTACAAGAAGGGAGTAGAGTGCAAACTTAAAGGTTATTGTGATGCTGATTATGCTGGAGACCTAGACACTCGTCGCTCGACAACAGGATATGTGTTCACACTCGGTTCAGGAGCAGTGTCGTGGTGCAGTAAAAGACAGCCGACCGTTTCGTTGTCAAGTACAGAGGCCGAATATAGAGCGGCAGCAATGGCATCACAAGAGTGCACCTGGCTAGTGCAACTTTTGAAGGACCTTCATCAAGAAGTTGATTACTCGGTTCCATTAAATTGTGACAACTTATCCGCTATCAAGTTAGCAGAGAATCCTGTGTTTCATGCTAGAACAAAGCATGTTGAAGTTCATTATCATTTTGTCCGAGAGAAAGTGTTGAAGGAAGAGATAGAGATGAAAGCAGTGAAGACTGGAGATCAGATCAGATTGCAGATATTTTCACTAAAGCACTTCCGAGAGTCAAGTTTGAAGAGTTCAAAAGAGAACTTGGAATGATCAAGAAGAAGAATGTTGGTGACGCTGAACTACGTGGTGAATACACTACTCAAGCATGATACGAACACTACTCGGAGTAATGGTGAATTAAACTTTAAGGGGGAGTATTGAAGAATAAAGTTTAATAAACAAAAAAAAAATGTAACATCACAACTAGTTAGAGTTGTGAAGTGTGTGGAGTTATCTAGAGTGTGTATTAATGTGGGTAGTTATGGATTAAGAAAAGAAGAAAAATGAAGAACCACAAATGGGTAGATATTTGTGGGGTTAAGTAGGTGTAAAGTGGTAGTTAGGTGTGGCAAAGTATAAGCCACAATTTAGTGTTGGAACTTGGCTATAAATAGCCATGGTTTGTGTATGATTTCTTCATCCCAAGCAAAGCAAAGCAAATAAGAAAGAAAGTAGAGAGTGTTTGAGCAATTGTGAGTTGTGGGAAGGTGAAGAAATAAGAGAGTTAGTGAGCATTTCGATCCATATTTTTCCAACAGAACCATCCTCAGAATGCATCGAATCGGTCCCGTACAGCAACTCGCCAACAAATCGTCCCATATCCGGGCCGATACAGCCGCGAACGGAACAACCGTTCTTCGTGGTTGCTTGGCGGTCACCGCCTTCCAGCGATTTCTTCCTCGATTTCCAATTGGGTTGCAGCAGCCCAACCAATCTTGTGTTAGCGGCATCAGTATTTGCAGCAACGACTGCGGCCGGCGAGATTTCCTGCAAGTCCAACGACGCCAGCGGCAACTGTGAAACCGAAAGCTTTTCCGTTGTCACGATGTTGCGCGCCAGCTCCGGAGACACATGCGTAGCAAGGACAGAGGCAGCAGCTCCGCGTCGTCTCTTCTTCTTCTTACGACAGCAGCACCTCCCCCCTTCAGGCGTGACCGCCATCGATCGCGGCGGTGCGGAGCTTCCAGCAACAACACTGTTCGACAGTACAATAGTTGTCGGACCTACTTCACGTCGTCGATCACGCTCTTGTTGAAGCTTCTTGAACTCCGCAATCCTCTTGGTAGCCTCGCAAAAACCTCGCATGGTGACCCTTACGTCATTACACCAGAAACTCATAGCTGAATTTTCCCAATCCGTTGTGACCGTTGCCACTTGTTTGAGCCACTCATGGCCGAGGACGAGATCAACCCCATGAATCGGAAGTTCGTACGAGTTTACTTCAAGCCATACACCTTGTATGTAAATTGGAACGGCCTTGTAACAACGCTCACAAACCAAGAATTCCCCGTTTGCAGTCTTGACCTTGAACGGAGGAATTGGTGTAGTCGGCAAGGCTAAACCCTTGGCGACGTCGGGGTTTATGAAGTTGTGCATTGAAAACCCATCAACTAGTGCGACCACAGGTTCTCGATGGATTGTCGTGTCGAGTCGGAGGGTTGCTGAGTTCCAATCTCCGGCATGAGTAGAGAAAGAGACCTCGGCATTAATCGGCAGAGGAGGTTTATCCGGTGGTTCGTGGATCTCGAATGGAAAAGCTACGGTTAGTTTCTTCGCTACTGGCGCCTCGGTAGGCCATCCGTCCACCTCGTCCATCGCGTAATCGTACGAACTAAAGCTAAAAGAAACTGAAAATACTGGTTTATTCTTCTTTAACTGATTAAAACGTAGAGACAAAGTACATATTTATAGGAATAATCCTACAAACCATTTCCCTCCCGAACAAGGTAAACTAATCCTAGACCAACTCCTAAACAATAACTTCCTTAACAAGAAATAATAACCAAAATAATATCCAAATAAACAATAATAATAATGACCAAAATTAGTTTTAATG